TTTGGAAATTTGAGAGTATGGAAATTTGGGAGATTGGGAATTTGAGAGTTTGGGAATTTGAGAGTTTGGAAATTTGGGAGATTGGGAATTTGGGAGATTTGGAATTTGGGAGATTTGGAATTTGAGAGTTTGGAAATTTGAGAGTATGGAAATTTGGGAGATTGGGAATTTGAGAGTTTGGGAATTTGAGAGTTTGGGAATTTGGGAGATTGGAAATTTGAGAGTTTGGGAATTTGGGAGTTTGGGAATTTGAGAGTTTGGGAATTTGAGAGTATGGAAATTTGAGACTTTAGAAATTTGAGAGTTTGGAAATTTGAGAGTTTGGAAATTTGAAAGCTTGGAAATTTGAGAGTTCAGAACTTCGAGAGTTTGGAAGAATTTGAGAGTATGGAAATTAGAGACTTTAGAAATTTGAGAGTTTGGAAATTTGAGAGTTTAGAAATTTGAGAGTTCAGAACTTCGAGAGTTTGGAACTTTGAGAGTTTGGAAATTTGAAAATATAGAACTTTGTGGAGGTAGAGAGCACTTCACGCGCCAACTCCATGTTTCTCATCATTTCCCGCCAAATCTAACCTAACCTCTCTAAACCCAACCTCTCGTACCTCTTCACCTATAACCCATAACCACAAAAATGATTCTTAAACCAGAAATAAAACCTCGCTAATCGATAACAGTTGTAATAAACACCGTAGTACTATCATGATTTACTTGCAATGAATCAAACATTTAAACATTTAACCGCGTCTAGGGGTTATCTGACGTTTGTAATGTTATCAGTGCACGACGGGTATTATCAGTTCCTCGAATGCTTTGCTACTGTTTTCGTCTTCGAATTGGATTAACGATTAGCACGGTTATACTTGTATGCACGTGACTACAATTGAATGCACGTTCTATATTTATCTTCCTTCTATTGATACGTCTTTGTTTCTAACTCATACAAGATACACGTATCAATAATTTCTTAACGGCGATTCTCATTTTAACTTTCATCTTAAAGAATGCACTTTCGAGTATTTTCTTCGGTTGTATCTCGTAATGGACGCCAATTGACGCAAAAGATACAGGGAAATCTTGGACCGGAATTTATTAACGACAATACAGATAATTCCCGAGAAATATGTTGTTGACGTTTCCCGATCTTTCATTACTCTTTCGAGGGCAGACTCAACAAGCTCATTTTTCAATTGTTCAACAAATTTTCATCTTTATTATATTTATTTATTTTTCTTTATTATATTTTCATATTTATTGTTTGTCGAATTTTCGTCTTTATTATATTCATCTATTTATTTATTTATGTTTATTATATTTTTACATTTATTATTGGTCGAATTTTCACCTTTATTATATTTATTTATTTATTTATTTATTTATCTTTGTTATACTTCCATATTTATTATTGGACGAATTTTCATATTTATTATATTTATTTATTTTTCTTTATTATATTTTCATATTTATTGTTGGACGAATTTTTTTATTTATTTACTTATTTACTTATTTATTTATTATATTTACTTATTTATTTATTTATTTATTTATCTTTATTATATTTTCACATTTATGGTTGGACGACTTTTCATATTTATTATATTTATTTATTTATTTATTTATTTATCTTTGTTATATTTTCATATTTATTATTGGTCGAATTCTCACCTTTATTATATTTATTTATTTATTTATTTATTTGTCTTTGTTACACTTTCATATTTATTATTGGATGAATTTTCCTCTCCGCCATTTTGTTTTCTCGAAGCTTCGGTAGTGAAAGCTTCGAACTTAAATTGTTTGATTGTAATTTTAAATTTGTTCAATTTTTCACAATTTTTGTAACATTTCTTGTTTGTTTTTACTTAAGTATCTATTTTTTATAATTTTCATAATTATATGAAAATTATTATTTAATTTTTATTTCATCATTTGATTATTATTTAATTATTATTTAATCATTTTATGCTTGTTTTTGCCTCAACATTTATTCTCCACAATTTTTTATTAAATAATTATTTCAAGAAAATTTCTCCAAAAACTTTTCTGTAAATTTTAAAAATATTGAATAACTAAAATTTGTACTTTACTTACGATCTTGCAAATCGAACTGATTTTCCTTCTCCTCCGGCGACAACGTGGTGGTAGTCACGTTTTGTTTCTCAATATTGGTATCAATAGCTTGAGACCCAACTTTCTCGGGTAGCGTTGCCATCATATTTGCGGTGTACGCAAGTATCAGCATTGTCTCGTTGACAAACATTTTGCGGGATGAATAAACACCTTAATCACAATTCAATAAACAAGTTGTCGATGGTTCTTAAATCACTGCACTTAAATATACACTGGTATACAACGTTTTTAATTTAGTTTTAACACATTTTTGGTTAATTCTTTCACACTGATTTTCCTCTTCTTCATGATCTTTTCGAAACGTAGAAATTATTAGTTATTAAATATTAAAGTTATCTTTGAAATTATGTATGATGTGCTATAGTTATTTTCATGGGGTTATCACAATTTATTATTAAACTTGAATTATTAGACTTGAATTATTAAACTTGAACTATCAAACTTGAATTATTAAACTTGAATTAGTAAACTTGAATTATTAAACTTGAATTATTCAACTTGAATCATTAAACTTGAATTATTAAACTTGAATTATTAAACTTGAATTATTAAACTTGAATCATTAAACTTGAATTATTAAACTTGAATCATTAAACTTGAATTATTAAACTTGAATCATTAAACTTGAATTATTAAACTTGAATCATTAAACTTGAATTATTAAACTTGAATCATTAAACTTGAATTATTAAACTTGAATCATTAAACTTGAATTATTAAACTTGAATCATTAAACTTGAATTATTAAACTTGAATCATTAAACTTGAATTATTAAACTTGAATCATTAAACTTGAATTATTAAACTTGAATCATTAAACTTGAATTATTAAACTTGAATCATTAAACTTGAATTATTAAACTTGAATTATTAAACTTGAACTATCAAACTTGAATTATTAAACTTGTATTATTAAACTTGAATTATTAAACTTGAATTATTAAACTTGAATTATTAAACTTGAATTATTAAACTTGAATTATTAAACCTGAATTATTAAACTTGAACTATTAAACTTGAATTATTAAACTTGAATTACTAAACTTGAATTATTAAACTTGAATTATTAAACTTGATGATTATTATTGTGGTGTGTTTTAGAAAGTATATTATTGGAAAACAAAATTCAGTTCAATAATTGATTATTTATAGTCACTTATCTATAACTGACAAACTACAGTAATTTATATTGTACAGTAACTTGTATCATACAGTAATTTGTATCATATAGTAACTTGTATCATATAGTAACTTGTATTACACAGTAAACTGTATTATATAGTACCTTGTATCATACAGTAACTTGTATTAGACAGTACCTTGTATCATACAGTAATTTGTATCATATAGTACCTTGTATCATACAGTAACTTGTATTACACAGTAACTTGTATCATACAGTAACTTGTATCATACAGTAACTTGTATTATACAGTAACCTGTATTATATAGTACCTTGTATCATACAGTAACTTGTATTACACAGTAGCTTGTATCATACAGTAGCTTGTGTCATACAGTAACTTGTATTATACAGTAACTTGTATCATACAGTAACCTGTATTATATAGTAACTTGTATCATACAGTAACTTGTATTACACAGTAACTTGTATCATACAGTAACTTGTATTACACAGTAACTTGTATCATACAGTAACTTGTATTACACAGTAACTTGTATCATACAGTAACTTGTATTACACAGTAACTTGTATCATACAGTAACTTGTATTACACAGTAACTTGTATCATACAGTAACTTGTATTATACAGTAACCTGTATTATATAGTACCTTGTATCATACAGTAACTTGTATTACACAGTAGCTTGTATCATACAGTAGCTTGTGTCATACAGTAACTTGTATCATACAGTAACTTGTATTACACAGTAACTTGTATTATATAGTAACTTGTTTGTATTATATAGTACCTTGTATCATACAGTAACTTGTATTACACAGTAACTTGTATTATATAGTACCTTGTATCATACAGTAACTTGTATTACACAGTAACTTGTATTATATAGTACCTTGTATCATACAGTAACTTGTATTACACAGTAACTTGTATCATATAGTACCTTGTATCATACAGTAACTTGTATTACACAGTAACTTGTATCATACAGTAACTTGTATTCCTACAATAACTTGTATCATACACTAACTTCTATGATACAGTAACTTGTATTATACTTATATATCCTTCTATTAATATTACATATACTGTACAGTAACTTATACAGAAACTGATAACTTGCTTACCAACTTGCCATTAAAAAGTTCACAACTTTCAAATCTTCCTCACTGATCATTCACATTTTTAAACAAACAAACTGTATTTATAACAATGTATAAACTGTTCCCTGATAATAATTAATAAACTATTAACTGTTACTTAATTTTCTAAAATGAACTCCCAAACACAACTGCCTCACAATTATATTTTATATCTTAAAACTGTAACAAAGCGTGTCACTGTCCTACGTGCAGTTTCTCCAGCGATGTCTTCGTCGAATGATCACCCGATTCGATTTCGATCCAAGCGTATCGATTACCCGAGCAACGGGGAGATGTTAGAAAAAGTCAATTGACGCAAATGACGATAACACGATGGAACTGCATCGACGAAAGGCCATCTTCCGTTGCAAAATAAAAAGCTTGTCGAACCTACTTCTCCTTTACGCCATATTTGTCTCTCCTTCTGTGTCCTTGATCTTGTTACACAAACTTTAACTCTCAGAGGTTCACCGAAGTAATTACTTTGTTTTGTCTGTCTTCCTGCAAAATAAATTATACGATCACTTTTTAATTCACTCGTAACAAATATTTTATGACGCTTATTTACATATAAATTCTTCAAAATATTTTTAATGAAAAATATGTTTGTCAGAATTATGTAAATATCTTTCAAACTTCATACACAAATTTTTCTTTAAAATATTTTTCACAAAAAATATGTTTGTAAAGAATTATATAAATATCTTTAAAACTTGATCGTTGACAAAATGTTCTGTTTTATGGAACCTCTGATTTATTGTTTACTGCTGAATCACGTGTTACATATTTATTTTTAAATGACTCATAAAATTGCATGTATGTATTTCATGCAATCAAATAAGTTCTTCAAAGTTTCTTATCAAAAGTCTTCAAATAAACTTGTAGACACATACCTTAGTTTCAAATTGAAAAATAAAAATTAAAAATTGAAGATTATTTTTACAGATGTTGTCGACTATTTACATTTAATAATTTTAGCAACAATTTAATTATGAAACTAGTCAGAAGATGTATACACAGATTGCACAGTGACCACAAGACAAGAAGCATTGTGAAATTATTTTAATGTTACAGAAATTAGCGATGTATACCGATTGCACAGTGACCACAAAACAAAATATTGCAACAAAAAAATTATAAAATAATACAGAATATAGAAATGAAGCTTCAAAAAATAAAAATTTGTGTGAGAATAAAAATTCTCATAAAATTATTCCTCCACAAAGTTCCTCAGAAAATATTTCTATCTCACACATTCTATAACTCCCCGCTGGTAAATTCAGCAAAACTAGAATACAAGTTAAAATATAAATATAAGCAAAACTAAAATACAAGTTAAAATATAAATATAAGCAAAACTAAAATACAAGTTAAAATATAAAAATAAACAAAACTAAAATACAAGTTAAAATATAAGCAAAACTAAAATACAAGTTAAAATATAAATACAAGCAAAATTAAAATACAAGTTAAAATGTAAATATAAGCAAAACTAAAATACGAGTTAAAATATAAATATAAGCAAAACTAAAATACAAGTTAAAATATAAGCAAAACTAAAATACAAGTTAAAATATAAATACAAGCAAAACTAAAATAAAAACAGTATAAAACAAACTAACCCAAAAAAGTATAAAAACCGAATAAAACAAAAGAATAAGATTAAAAAGAATGTCGTCGCATAGAAGCAAGAAAAACCACAACATAACACTTACAAAATGGCGAAAAGCGAAGAAAGGTTATTTCGCCGAACAAAAGAAATTCGAAGTATTTAATCGGAAATATTGGAGAGTTAACCACTGACCGAGCAAGCATGAAGTACTAATCACTCGAAATTGTGTGGACAGCTCTGTCAGCTTTTATCGCGCGTTCAGCCCCACTCCAGTCGTTTCTCTGGCCGTCTCGTCGGTTCACGGGATGAGCTGGCCTCCAAACGGACAGAATTCTCGGCAAAAAGAAAGAAAAACCGGATCAGTCTCTCTAATGAGGCTACACTCGTCTGAAAAGGCACGATCTTTTCTTTCTTTACCCTTAACTGTCCGTTCGTTGACCGATTTTGTTCGGTTAGTTGAATCGTACCGCGCCATGGGACCTTTTTGTCGTTTCGTGGAAGACGTTTGATGGTGCGACTTCCATTGTAAATGGAAGTGTTTAAAATGTCTGTGCGTTTTGAGGAAGGATGTTCATTTCAGATTGTTGTACTGTAATGCTGTAATAGCAAGGTGGGGAATTGTTAAGAAATATGTGAGTGATGGTTTTTGAGTTTTTGTAGTTCTTTTTTGGGAACTTGAGAATTTGGGAATTTATCGAGTTTGTAGGAGGTTAGAATTATGAGATTGTAGTGTGGGTAATAGGAGGTGAGATGAAATGGATGTGGAGATTTAGGGACGTGGGGATTTGGGGATATAGGATTTTGGGGACGTGGGGAATTTAGGGACGTGGAGATATGGGGACGTGAGGATTTAGGGACGTAAGGATTTGGAGACGTAGGGATTTGGGGACATGGGATTTTGGGTGCGTGGAAATTTGGGGGCGTGGGAATTTGGGAGCGTGGGAATTTGGGAACGTGGGAATTTGGGGATGTGGGGAATTTGAGGACGTGGGGATTTGGGGACGTGGGATTTTGGATGCGTGGAAATTTGGGGGCGCGGGAATTTGGGGACGTGGGGTGGGAATTTGGGGGTGTGGGAATTTGGGGGCGTGGGAATTTGGGGGTGTGGGAATTTGGGGGCGTGGGAATTTGGGGGTGTGGGAATTTGGGGGCGTGGGAATTTGGGGGTGTGGGAATTTGGGGGCGTGGGAATTTGGGGGTGTGGGAATTTGGGGGCGTGGGAATTTGGGGGTGTGGGAATTTGGGGGCGTGGGAATTTGGGGGTGTGGGAATTTGGGGGCGTGGGAATTTGGGGGTGTGGGAATTTGGGGGCGTGGGAATTTGGGGGTGTGGGAATTTGGGGGCGTGGGAATTTGGGGGTGTGGGAATTTGGGGGTGTGGGAATTTGGGGGTGTGGGAATTTGGGGGCGTGGGAATTTGGAGGCGTGGGAATTCGGGGACGTGGGGAATTTGGGGACGTGTGGATATAGGGACGTGGGGAATTTGAGGATGTAGGGATTTGGGGACGTGGGATTTTGGATGCGTGGAAATTTGGGGGCGTGAAACACTACGTTATCCCAAACTCAATTAAAAACTCCCCAAAAAATTCCCTCCTTCATCCCTCAACCCAAAAGTCACCGAAACAACCATTTTGTCAATTTTCATAGAGACATCAAGTTACAAATTCATTGAAAGGTTCTCAGCAGAGTTCCATTCAGCTCCCAGCGCAGTGAAAGCCGACCGATCGATACTCCAGGTCCAAACAAGGCGTCCTGGATCAATAGACGGCACAATAGGGGTTCCTTTCAACACGGCAAGTTGAAACCAGAGCACCCAACATCCCCTATTGCCATTCAACCCCCGTGAAAATTGCCTCCTATTTCGTTATACGTTCCTGACGCTGGACACCCTTGAGATGTCTCTCGTGTTTGCTCGGGGGATGTTGCAAAATCACCCTAAACATCGTTCGTGGACCTCCTTAATATTTCTGGCGGCCTGGTCATCGAATCGTACGAGGGTTGCATCGTGATTACTCTGAGAAGTATGAATGACATCTGTTACAGGGTGTCAAAATGGACGTTGCTACCCTGAGGTTGATGTGGAGGGTGAATTTGGGGAAACTTTTTCTTTAGGGATAAGAAAATTCTTTTTTAAGGCTGTGATTCTTAGGGAGTTGATGAAGGTGTTTTGTGTAATGGATTATTTTTTTTTATAAATAATTATTTGTTGTTTTATTGTTGTTGTGGGTGGTGGATTTGCAGGGATGAAGTTTGAGGAATTGAGAGTTGAGGAAGGAAGTTTGAGGTTGTGAAGCTTGAGAGTACATGAATTATGCAATATATTGTTAGTTAATAATTATTGTTTGTTTATTGAAAGATGTGTTTATGTACCGATTGGTGGAGAAGATTGAAAAGTATTTTATGAAGAATGAAGAGGTTGATTACTGTGTAACATGAAGATTATGATATGTTCACTGAAGTTCATTGAACATAATAGTTATTGTTACAATAAATTATTATAGTTTCCTAGTTGAAGTGATTGTGTGTTAAAGTTGATAAGGGATGAAGTTTAAGAAGTAGTATTTAAGGGGATGATTATTGTTATGACTTTATTCTCCACTTTGAACAATAATTTTTGTAATAATTATTGTTTTTTAATTAAATAATGTACTTCTGCGTTTCTAATAACTGTGCCATTAAAAATGAACTTATGCAACAATTTTTCTACGACTATAATTTAAGTATATCTATAATTTATTATTACATTGTTCATTTTTTAAATGTCACTCTAATTCTTTAAAATAAAATATTGTTTAAAATGTTAATAAAAGTATGATTGTTTAATATGTTCAGTAAAATATGTTTATTACAACCTATATTTTAATAAAAATGTATGTTAAAAAAATAAATTATCTACAATTTGAAAGAACAACGCAGTATTGATCCTTGAACACGAAATACCCTTTGGAGGTGAATGGAAGGAGGTGCGCGTGTATGGGTTGATGGAAATATGGCGGACAGCTGATTCCGCTCCATTCAGCGACGAAGGGGCCTCCAAGACCCTTGAAACACTCCTTTTAACCCCTGTTATCCTGTTACGTTGCCCTATCGGATCCCCATTCATTTACATGAGTATTCGTGGTAGGGTATATCCTGCGGGTGTCCCTTCTGCGTCAATGAAAATGGAGGAGGACCTAACCTAACCCTTCATCCACAAAGTCAGAATGGAAAGCTTTGAGATATATTATAGGCTGCTATTTTAAATTTATTATTCTACTTTTTGAATGGGTCAAATTTTCCATTTGGGATATTTTTTATTTTTTTAAGTTGGAGGTGTTTGTTCAAATATTTGGAATTCTAATATTTAGTTAGGTAAATATTCATATAGAGGAATATTCAAATTGACAAAGATTAAAATTGAGAAATATTCAAATTAAGAAATATTAAAATTGAGAAATATTAAAATTGACAAACATTAATATTGACAAACATTAATATTGACAAACATTGATATTGACAAACATTAAAATTGATAAATATTAAAATTGGCAAATATTAAAATTGATAAATATTAAAATTGACAAATATTAAAATTGACAAACATTAATATTGACAAATATTAAAATTGACAAATATTAAAATTGACAAATATTAATATTGACAAACATTAATATTGACAAACATTAATATTGACAAACTTTAAAATAGACAAATATTAAAATTGATAAATATTAAAATTGGCAAATATTAAAATTGACAAACATTAAAATTGACAAATATTCAAATAGACAAATATTAAAATTGAGAAATATTAAAATTGACAAACATTAATATTGAGAAATATTAAAATTGGCAAATATGTATTAAAATTGACAAACATTAATATTGAGAAATATTAAAATTGACAAACATTAATATTGACAAACATTAATATTAACAAACATTAAAATTGACAAACATTAATACTGACAAACATTAAAATTGATAAATATTCAAATAGAAAAATATTAAAATAGAAAAATATTAAAATACTTTAAGCACCAAAACTTCAGAAGCCCGCAAATAAATAACCTGACCTAACCAACCTTACTTGACAAATTTTGTTAACCTAACCTAATCTTCCCTAACCTACAAATAAAAATTGCATATAACAATCAGTGCACTTAAAACCATCATACAAGTTCTAAACAAGGCCCACAAAAAATACAATCCTCAAAACACAGAATATTAAAAATTCGTTGCAAACAACTTCCTCAAGAACATTGAAATTACTGCAAGATTTTAATAGTAGCTCCGTAAAGACTAAAAGAACGATCTACGAGTCAAAGATTCCTAGAAGCATATCAACTTTTTCTGATTATAAAATACACTGCCGCGTCAGCAGAAGTTCGAAGATACAACCGTTATCGGATGTGAAATTACGAGATAAACGTTTCGACCTACGACTCTGTGTCAGCGTCTGCTAAATTATATTACAGAGAAGCTTAAATTTGCATCTGCCGATATTTCTATTAAAACCGTATTTCAAACGTGAATTAAAATAGATTAAGAGAAAGAACACGAGCGCCATATTTTATGCAACGCCATTGCTGCGTGGCCCTTTTGGTAGGGACTGACCACGCACCGAATCCCTAAAACACTTGTCCTCGCTTTCTAACATCCTGTGAACGTGGCCCTTTGAGAAACGTCCCAGAGGGTTAAATAATTAAAAACCGGAACTTAATATTCGCCCTTTATGAAAATTGTCGTTCGATCGCGAAAGGGAAGCTGCTTGGTGACACTGATTAGGAGAACATGTCTTCTGGTGGGTCGTTGCCTTACAAGGATAAAGATATTCAAAAAATTGATGGCCATAATACTCATTTTTAAATATTTTTAATAATATTCGACTTCAAGTTCAATGTTCAGTTACTGCAACTTACAAATTTATATTCTACAACTTTCAATTTTTAATTCTTGACGAAAAAGGTTATGGGAATATTGCAAGGTTAATCAATTTTTTTATTTATGTTTTTAGGTTAGCTGAATTGTATGGAATTAATTGTAACTTAAAATCTTGACTGCATTTGTCATAATTTATAACTGACCTCTTAATACATTTTTACTGATTTACTAATATTTCTGTACCTATCTTTTATTTGACTCTTCAGTTTTTAGGTTATGTTAAATTATATTTTAGTTACACTAAATTAAATATTATATTAAGTCACTTACTAAACCTTCCCTTAAAATCTCTTTCAAATGCCACTCAAAACTAAAATTTTCCCAACTTTCTTTTTCCTAAAATTTTTACAAAAATAACAATTCCCTCTCCACATAATTATATTAAAAACTCCATATTGCAGTGATTACCATCCCTCTTACCCATAATCTCTTACGTATTCTCTTTAAGAATCTTGAGGGTGCTAAAGAATGAATCTAAAAAAATATATAAAACGTTTGCAGAAGTAGTCATTTCTCAGGGAAAAGGGGGTTGTGCGTCGAGTCCTTTTGGAGGATTCTCAAAGGGCCGCCACGGGATGCAACCAGTCCTTTCCTTATGGTTTCCTAGTAAAAGTGCGTAGGCGTATGCCCTTTAGGAACCAACAATTCTCGTTCTTCCCATAAAAGGGCTACCTTGTTCTTCAAGGGCGTCCTATACAATTTTCGATACGTTTACCCTGTCTCTTCATGCACTCCTGTTGCCAAAGTTTGTGTTTAATTCAGTGCACTGTATTTGGAGCATAAACACAATTTATGTGCTCTTAATAATATTTACAATTTATTTTGTGATTTAAATTATTATAAATGTATTTGTTAAGCAGTTTGTATGTATGGAAATGATGGGGTTGGAAACTAAAGATTTCTTGAAAGGCTTTTATTCTTCAGATACAATTTACATATTATTATCTTGAAATATAGACTTAATGTATTAAATGTATCACTAAATTTTGCAATAAATATTCAAAGTAATTGTGTGACTTATTATATAAATTTAGATTATTTAATCAAATTAAAATTTGATTAATATTAATTATTTTAAAAATGATTGTACATTTCAAGTTTGTTAAATTATCAAATGAAAGCACTCTCATATGTCAGCACTCTCATCATTAACAAACTAGAATTTTATAAAAAATTTATTCATACAAATTTTCTATATATTTCATAAAAATTTCACAATTTATAAAAAAGTAAATTTATATACATAAATAAAATTTTTTATTTAAAATTGTCCTTAGTTATAATTTATAGGCAAATGCATGGAAATCTGTTGTGAGGAAAATTGATTTATCAAAAGAAATACAGGAGATGAATTTTTGTGGTGTTCAGTGAAGTACAGGGTTGAAAGAGAAAAAGAGGCAACGAGAGAAAACTCCAGTTTATTTCTGCTGAATGGGGTAATTGAATCGTGGCTGATTATGAGGGTGCTGGGGTGAGTTCCTCAACCCACCAGGAATTTTTTTTCCATCGACTTCCGGAAGCTTTGACCAGGAAATTATAAGCTTGTGTTGTTCGTCGGACAACGGGATTGGTCGCATTAACATATCATATTCTGGTAATCGATATTGCATCCCCAGGTAGGGTCAGTTTGGTATGCACTGGTTTGTTTTTATGTAATGATGATTTGGGGGTGTAGAAGTTGGGAATTAAGGGGTTTGGGGAATTTTGGGAATATTTTGGGAATTTAGGAATTTAGGGATTTAGGGATTTAGGGAGACAGGAATTTAGGGATACAGGACTTTAGCAATTTATAAACTTAAAAATTAAAAAATTTGAGAGTTGGAAATTTGAGAATTTAGGGATTTGCAGATTTAGGAATTTAAGGATTTTAAAATTTGAGGATTTGGGAAATTAGAAATTTTTAAATTTGGGAGTTAAAAATTTGAGGATTTAGGGATTTGAGAATATAGCAATTTAAGTACTGAAAGATTTGAGGATTTAAGAAATTAGAAATTAAAAAATTTGAGAGTTAAAAATTTGAAGACTTAGGGATTTGAGAATATAGGAATTTAAGAATCTGTGCATTTGCAGATTCAAAAATGTGTAAATGTTTAAATTCATTAATAGAAGATTTGGAAATTATTTATTAATTATTTATACACATATTATTATACATTTGGAAGTTACAAAACGCTATAACAAAATAAGTCACATATGAAGATTTGTTAATAGAAGATTAGAAAATTATTTATCAATTATTTATACATTATTATATATTTAAAAGTTACAAAACGCTGCACCAAAATAAATCACACAGTCTTTAAAATTTGCTTTACCAAGTACGTCAAATCTAGTGGATCACCCACATCGCCTGGTAGATGGCATCCTGACAGAAGCAGGAAGTCACGTGTCTTCATTGTGTCAGTGGTACGCCGTGAATTAAGCCGCAGTCTGTGCAGTATCCTCCTGCGCATTCATGATGTCCTAGTACCGTTGACATCTGCGCGATTTATCTTTCTTCAGCCGGGACAAATTGAATTTACTCGCCACAGGAAGGGCTCGTCTGTCATCCTCCAGACGACGACCGTGTCCGTTTCCTGCTGTCCTGATTGCGCGTATGCTCGCACTATAAAAACAAAACCTGTCTGACGTGACACGGACAAGCGGGTGTCACGTGCGTGTACCGGACAACAGGTGTTTTGATTCGCGACGAACGTATGCTTACAGGTATATGCATATTGTACATACAGATTCATTGCTTAAGTATTTAATTATTGATTGCGTATTAGTGAAGGCGTTTTACCGATGGCGTATTACTGATGACGCATTAGTGATGGTGTATGCAATTAGTGCATTTGGGGACGCCATTTTGTAAACATTCTGTAAGCACATTGCTTACAGTGCTTCCCATAAGGGTTTTGTAGATTAACATGAAAGTGTAGTACTGTTTAAACAGTGACAGTATTTTTGAACATAACTGTGCAAAGGTGATAGGTTAAGTGACAACCCACTGTACAAAAATGATAGGTTAAGGGACAACCCACTGTGACAACCGGAGTTAAAAATTTGAGGATTTAGGGATTTGAGAATATAGCAATTTAAGTACTGAAAGATTTGAGGATTTAAGAAATTAGAAATTAAAAAATTTGAGAGTTAAAAATTTGAAGACTTAGGGATTTGAGAATATAGGAATTTAAGAATCTGTGCATTTGCAGATTCAAAAATGTGTAAATGTTTAAATTCATTAATAGAAGATTTGGAAATTATTTATTAATTATTTATACACATATTATTATACATTTGGAAGTTACAAAACGCTATAACAAAATAAGTCACATATGAAGATTTGTTAATAGAAGATTAGAAAATTATTTATCAATTATTTATACATTATTATATATTTAAAAGTTACAAAACGCTGCACCAAAATAAATCACACAGTCTTTAAAATTTGCTTTACCAAGTACGTCAAATCTAGTGGATCACCCACATCGCCTGGTAGATGGCATCCTGACAGAAGCAGGAAGTCACGTGTCTTCATTGTGTCAGTGGTACGCCGTGAATTAAGCCGCAGTCTGTGCAGTATCCTCCTGCGCATTCATGATGTCCTAGTACCGTTGACATCTGCGCGATTTATCTTTCTTCAGCCGGGACAAATTGAATTTACTCGCCACAGGAAGGGCTCGTCTGTCATCCTCCAGACGACGACCGTGTCCGTTTCCTGCTGTCCTGATTGCGCGTATGCTCGCACTATAAAAACAAAACCTGTCTGACGTGACACGGACAAGCGGGTGTCACGTGCGTGTACCGGACAACAGGTGTTTTGATTCGCGACGAACGTATGCTTACAGGTATATGCATATTGTACATACAGATTCATTGCTTAAGTATTTAATTATTGATTGCGTATTAGTGAAGGCGTTTTACCGATGGCGTATTACTGATGACGCATTAGTGATGGTGTATGCAATTAGTGCATTTGGGGACGCCATTTTGTAAACATTCTGTAAGCACATTGCTTACAGTGCTTCCCATAAGGGTTTTGTAGATTAACATGAAAGTGTAGTACTGTTTAAACAGTGACAGTATTTTTGAACATAACTGTGCAAAGGTGATAGGTTAAGTGACAACCCACTGTACAAAAATGATAGGTTAAGGGACAACCCACTGTGACAACCCACTATGCAAAACTTGATAGGTTAAGTGACAAGTCTTTAACTATGAGAGGTACAAAAACATTCATAAAGTTTTATCTACAAATTCAGTGAGCATTAATATTATTAATTTTATCTATTTTATATTGCAGTACTATTAGCACTGTTTACAGTCCATAAAGCTACATAAAAAAATCAATGCAATTCATACAAGACTATATGTATAGACTTCTCTTCAGTCTCTCCAGTTAAAAATGTAAGTAAGTTATTTCACATATCATTTACTCAGCTGACCTAACCATAATATCCTTTCAGAATCGAATGCGGCACGCGCCGTCCCCTGCGCGCCAGCCAATATGCGAGGTACGCACTGCGGACAGTAGTGGTGTATGAAACAACAACGTCGATGTTGGTGAATGCCAGTTACCTTCAGGAGACCAGAAAGTCGACACACGATCCGTCCACGTATACGCGATCATGGTACCCTGGTAATGTTCGTGTCTACTCGTCTCTGTCCGTACGACAAGCAAACATAATTTACGAGGTCCGCGACCTCTCACGTTCGCAGCCCCGATGTTGGGGAATGACGAGCCGAAGCGAGGAATGCGGCCGTGAAATGGAGGAGGATTAAGCGTTCTTGGATAACAGAAGATCATAACGCAGACTGGCTTTCTTTGTGGCCAGGGATAATTGAGGATCTCTGGGAGTCAAGGAAATTGATAAGCAAAAATTCTTTTAGTTCAAATTATATATTTTCACATAATCTAAAATGTGTCGTACAAACTACATAGTATGCTTATGGTCATATGATGATAGTGGATTATGCATACTGTAATTGTTATTATAAATGTATGAAAAATTATTTTTATGAACGGTTCAAATTCTTGTCACATAACTTAAAATGTCATGCAAACTACATACTATACTTATGATCATATGATAGTAGATTATGCATACTATAATTGTGATTATAAATGTATGACAAATTATTTTCATGAACTGTATGTCTCAGCCTATGAGACAGATAATGACATAACCTATAATTTCCGTCATTTCTCTTCGTCTTTTATTTTTTGTTTAAACTGTTTTTTTAAGTTACATAATTTTACAGTGACGATTGCCTTCAAAGCACAAAGTCCTTCAGGACATGGTTCCCTAATACCACTGACATCCAAGCGATTTGTCTTGCTTCCCCACCAGGCAATCGCGTTTTACGACAGGGTTTTATGTGCCTCCGACGAATGGCGAGGCCCGTTTCCTGTTAACGCTGAAAGCACCGGAAAGGCAGGTCCTGGTGGACCTCGATGCTTCCATGCTTCCCTGATGCTACAATATTCCGAATTGTCAGAAAAAAAGTGCTCGGAATGTCGGTCGATTTACCCCTCCTCATTTGTATAATCCACTTATTTTTTCGGTGATGAGGAACGTGAAACATTGTGGCGGATATCGTTACATTATTTTAAGCTACTTCCTCTTGTAAATTGTTACAAAGACAACTGTATAAATATTAATAGTGGAGAGATATGAATGTTTATTGTAATGTCCGAGGGGATGTGTATTGATTGGCCTAAGTCTGTGATTGGCACGAGTGCCTATTGGATTTTATGGTGATTATGAACAGCGGTGTGTACATCTAGAGAGAAGTATGTCTAAGACCAAGCCTAAGCTAGGACGCAAGATTAAATATTCATCATATACTTCAATCCTGAATTGTAAAAGGGTGTCTTTCTGAAACGGTGGAAGTGGATATCCTATTGAACGGCTCCCCCAAGCCGAAGCCACAAAGCCAGCTAGAATTAACAGCGCACAGTCGTAAAGGGGAAGCAAATGCCGATTGACCTCCTCATCGTCCTACAAGCTGGATAGAGTTTCTATGAATGTTCCGTCGCCGCCCACAACCCTTTCTCGTTTCTTCGCATTTTGTCTCCTACGATTTCCGCGGAATGCGTGGAACGATCGAGCATTCATAAACACCCGTGCGTTCAACTCGAATCCTCTTGGAGACAAGTGGTCGGGAAATGGATTAAATCGAGGGAGGAAGAGAAGACCACGAAAGCTTGAGATTCTCGAACGTTATAACTTCCTGCTCCCTGTCACCGCATTCCTTTTATGCGGAGTCACTCGAGCGAAACGACGGAATTAGAATTCATTTGTATCGTCGTCATTCTGTCTAAATAAACCTTTCTCTTGCTTTCGTGCGATTAAGGACGACGGTTATGTATTATTTATGATCTGCTTTTGTGGTTTCAGGATATGCTTTGGACATACTTGGTACATACGATAGCTGGTTTTATCGATTCATCTATTACCAAGGGTTTATTTGGATTTGTTAAGATGCTTTGGAGATATTATCAGCTAATCGATAGCATGAAGCACTTTAGGGATGTGAGATATGAAGTACGAGGTATTCCTTCAAAAGGTATTTTCACATAGGACAGAATGGGTTACCAAGACACTGTAATGTGGGGTTGTATCAGGTGCTCAGCTAAAAAAATTCAACTTCTACATGCAGATCAACTTGTGAATGCAGGAATATTTCTTAGGACTGAACCTTGCAACCTAACAAACTAGACCCTTTACGACTTCTGCTATTCGATCGTAATTATAAAAATTTCTTCCTTTTATTCTATCAGATATTTATATTATATCGATTCCCCGCAGCAAAATATGAACCTGTCTCAAGGGCTATACCGAAGGGTAGGCGTCGAACGTGACGGATCGATCGTGACAAGCGACCCCCGACATGCTACCCTGTTCCAGCACCCCAAGATTCTTTTGTTCTCCGCAAATTGTCGTAGGTTATGATTTTCCTTGGCCGTGATCCGAACAACAGATTTCTCGGTCTCATATTACCCTGTCACATGGAGGAGTTGCTCCATTGTCCTCAGCTTTCTTGGGTCGTTCAAGACACCGCATCTCCGCGTATCCATGCAAAGCATTCTTCTTGCATCGTCGTTCTATCCGCACGGAACAGAGCGATCCGGTGTTCCCGACGTACACAAAATGGCCGGGTCAGGTAAAAATTCAGTTGGACCACTTCTCGACTCCTTTGGAATGTTAACTCCACCGCGATCATTCACTCCTTGCACCCGGCTTCTGCAAATTACTCTTCGCTCATGAAATCCTGATACTTAATGGTACTCAACTGTCACCGATCATCGCTGATTGATTTATGCCCTTGACCCGGAGGTTTATAGATAGAAGGGTCTTATGCAATGGGAAGCTACTGGTGTGGCAACGTTATCTTTGCAATTGGGTAAGCGGTGTTTTGAAACCCTATTCTTGCTTTTGGATCCGTAGATTTCCGAGTAGAGAAAATAAGTGGTGCTCGATATCTGTGAATGTGGGACTTGTGCTTACCCTAGGGCCTAGGCTAATCTGTAGTACCCCAGGTCCTAGGACTTTGATTGTCCTGGCTTCTTATGTCCTAGAGCTCTTTTGACTTTCTCCAACTTCTCATGTTTTTTAAAAATGACTACTTTTCAAAGTCTAATGAATTTCATTGTGTTACTATTTCAGATTGTAGCCAGCATACTCTCGCATTTCTCGAGTACCCAAACCATTCCATTTCTGAAGGACGCAGTCAGTCATATCACATCGAATATCGAGAAAAAAAAAACTGGACCAACTTTTTTCGATACCAGGAGGTCATAGAACGTCCGTGGTCAGCCCGTCAACGGCAGGTGGGCCGTTCGTGGGGTTTCCAATCAATCGGTACCTTCCGGTGTTATCAGAGTAACATAAGTCCGGCGGGAAAACCGAACTTTCCTATCGTTCGCAAGAAAAACGTGCGTGTCCCCCGATGCGTCGCTCCTGATAAACGGCGACGCGACCAAGACTTTTACGAGCCCCGAAAGAAATCGTGGTAAGAAAAGAAGATTCATGGGGTGTCGGTGGTTCGAGACAACCCCCGTCCTTCATTGCTTTCACATATGAGAACGTCTGGACGATTGGAATCGAAGGAAAGGGGTTTTAGTCGCTCAAGTGCTTCGAGTCACACATCGTGACAGGGATGCTATGAGGGTTCAGGAGGTGTCCTAATATTCGTGGGGTCGTTCACCCCAAAAACATTTCGAACGGGAGTGGTGGACGTCAATTGATTTTTTCTGGATGATTGAATTTTAGCGGCGGTTTTGGTATTCGTTGTATTGCACTCGGTATAAATTAGTGGCTGGATTCTCATTTGTGTAATTAGGGGGTTCAGGGGAGACTGTTTAATTCCCTCACAGTTTATTTCTCGGAGAAGAAAATATTGAACTTTAGCGTTTCATATTGAACTTTAACACCTTAAGTAGGTGCATATGTTACATATGAAAGTTTAGTATAAGGTATTCTTTTAGATTCAAACTGAGTTTGTATACATTTATACATATTTTGTTTATTTTTGAAATTCATGTTAAACATATTCAGAGAGGTTGAAGACCGTTTGACAATAGTGAGGTTATGTCTAAGTTAATCTGATTTTTTATAAAGCAAGAAAATACATAGCAGAGAAATAGCAAATTACTGATTCACCAATTTAAGTGTAGCATCTAGTTAAATATAGTTAAACTATATTTGCAATGTACTTATTATCATTGTTGTATAACAAAAAAATTTACGGTTCTAATTATCAAAACCCGTCAGGCTTACTTTTCCCTTTCGTTAAGGTCCGATCAATATCTGTTCGAACCTGCGCACTTGCAGCGACTCTCGCTTTCACCCTTCGATTTCCAAGCCTTTCAGTCTGGTAGCTCCTTCGCACTAGACGCCCATTAGTCTGACAGCTTGAAACCGACAAAAGAACCGAAATGTATGATTCAAACCAAATAAGCAGACGTATAAAAATGCTTCTTGCAAACAAACACCCCTCATACGTTGCAAAAATCTGAAGTATCATATGTATAAAATATCTGAAAAACCAAATATAAAATATCTGAAATAACCAAATATCTTAAAGGATGAAACTGACAAAGAATATCAGACCATTTCACACAGTCATAGAGTGACGTTAGAGTAACATGGCTGCCATAAAAATTAATCCATCCTTGCAACGCAATTATCCATAAGTCATGCAATGTCTGATAGTCTACATACATACACCTAATACAAACTTGATAAACAGTATGAAACTCAAAGTCCACAATCGCCTGTCAAAACTGTCCATTAACGCATCAGATCGATGGCATCATAACTGGCTGAAGCACAAGGAGAGAATGAAGCCTAAGGAGGTCTCAGCATCCAGCTAAGTCGTTCTAACGGCCAGCCATCCGAGCCCTACATCCCGGAGTCCCATTCAAATGCGCCGAGTTAAAGGGTCGAGTTCCGATCGTCCCGATAATTGGAAGGGCTATCGGCAGTCTATTGGTTTGATCCCTCGTTCCCAGGCTACCAGAAGCACGCCGGTGGTCGTACGAAATTCATCTGTGTCCCACCGTGTACATACACACCTCTCCGTCAGTGTGGCGCTCTTCAAGGTTCGTTGGACGCGCTTTCGAAAGCGTGATCGGACAGGTCGGAAGTGGACCTGGATTGGTACGTATGTACTCGTAGGCGGACTACCCCGTGACAGGAATAATTTAATCCGGTGCCCGAGGGAAAGGGTTGAATAAAATATATTCACATATTCGTAGCAGGCTGGTATGCGACACCAGGAGGCTCAACGGTTGGACAAAGCCCTTTGGGGCGTTATGGTGCTCTGGTGACTCGTCCTGTTCTTCGGAAACTGTCGTTTCCACTTCGGACCACAGGAAGGGAAACGGGTGGAGAATTAATGGGTGGAGAGGATTCGGGTTACTGGTGTGGGAGAGAAAGGGTTCGTCTCGTCGGGATTCCACCCACGCTTTTTTCACAGGATAGCATCCTCGCGAGGAACCCCCTCGACTCGCGGAGCTGCTTAGCGTTCCAGGATTTCGATTACTTGGACTTGATTAGCGTCAAACTATCACCATCTTCTCTCATACCAAAAATTTAGCATTTGAGAGATTTGAGAGATGTTTAAACAAAAATGAGACAGTGTTGCAAAGTGAGACAGTGTTATACAGTGAGACAGTGTTTTAAAATGACATAGTGCTTCACATAAGTGCATACATGCTGTGTTATGTCATTTATGACGTCCTACCCTGAGCTATCAAGGTACACACAGTCTGCCATTCACATTTGTTCAAGATGTGTCATCCATCAAGACAGTGGACTATGAAAACAGTCCTATGAAAGTTAGCCTAACCCCATGCTGCCCCAAATGAAAGGGTTCCGTCTTCACCTTCCGCCTGCAAACCTCCTACGTCCTGATGGCTGCCTGAACATTGTCACCTGCGGTGTAATTAATATTCATGTATACCCTCATGAATATGATCCTACACGACACGTGCACAATTGTAATCAGATTATTCCAGAGCCCCCATGCCAAACATCCTCCGGAGGATTTGAACTCGTTTCATCCTACACAGATTCGGTGGATTGTGCAGGTATCAGGGTGTCATGAAAGTCCCAACCGATTATTGGATGACACACAAAAGTGTTAGGGCAACATAAATCCAAGCTTCTTGCGCGTGAAAGGGGATTAAGGATGTAACAACGAACGAGACAATTCTGGACAATACAAGAGTAAACAAGGGGATCAGGACAGGATGAACGGCGAGGAGGATGGACGGACGAATTGGGGTGCGACAAACTAGGGGTGGCACGAATTGCGGTTCATTCTCCGCCAGGAGGCGGTTCGGAGGGTTAATGGATTGTGTCATCGGGGTTCGGATAGGGGAGGTTTCATACCGTTTGCCGAGTCTTAATGTAGGATTTATGTATCGATTTTAGAGTTGTCTTATTTCTGACGTCTGTAGATGTTAATAAAATTAATTTTTGATCTTGTATTTTATTTCCACATCCACCGCGAAAAATATAACTAGATATTATTATACTTTAAGATATAAGGTATGCCTTAATATTTTTCAAATTTTAATAAACAATTCTGCAAATGAATAAAAAATGTTTGAAACTCTAATACTCAAATTTTCCCGCCATAATTTCGCCATTTGTGTTTAGAGAACACGTGACCTATTATAACCTCAATCGGTGTAATAGATACGCGTGCAAAATAAAAGTTATGAATTTTTACAAAGTATCGAAACGTTTTTAAACGTATCGGTAGAGAAAGTATGCACTTAACGTGTGGATGCTGTAAACCTTGAGTTTACCGATAATGGGATTATGCGAAAGGAGGGGGAGCCTGTGATTTAGAGAGTACGATTTGAAGAGATCGTTACATAAATGGAGGAAATGAGAGGTTCAGTGTTAAGCGAAGATTGAGGAAGTAATTGAAGTTTCATGGCACGAAAGGAAATACACGGTTAAACTTTCTAATCACGTTCTATCATCTTTTAACTGACGAACGTTTCTTTTATGTTAACACCGTGTTCAATTTAATGTCTTTATAAGAATTCATGGATATCTCCCTTAAAATTTAAGTTCGCCAAATAGAAAATACTTTCAGTTCAGCAAATAGGAATTAACGTGTTAACCTAACATCTTTAACTCGGTCAAAAGGAACAGTATGAAAGAATTAAGCAATTAAGAATGACCAAGAATAGTCAAAAATAAAATACACGAAACTGTGTACTTGAAAAAATATCTCATCAAAGAGGATCATTTTCAGAATAAAAACATAGTTTGTTCTGAAATAAACAAATTTTATTCCGAAGATGATCTACAGTCAAAGTTTGCTCGTGAACGACCTTAAAAGTGTTAAAGTGTATCAGTGTTGAACTTAACTAGTGTTCCACAAATTTTTACCCGTGACTTCAACCCCATGAAATTGTACCACGATGGGTGGTGCACCCAGTACACATCTGGGCGTATTACATCAGCACCGAAGGAGCAAACGTCTGGGCGTTTCCGTCCTGAAGCAACCTTCCCATCAACGGGTGTCCTCTAGGCGGATGCTGAACCTGTTCCACGAGGGTATCTCCGACCGCGAAAACAAGGCACGGCGGTTTGGAATCCGATCCCCGGGGCCAACGATCGTTTCAATTTGTATCCCGACGCTCTTCAGCGCGAGGTCGCGATTCCGCACCGCCTCTTCATGTCGTGGTTCCGCCCCGCGAGTTTGACGGCCTGCCCTCCGCGGGAGCCGCCCCCGCTCTTCGAACAGGAACACAGGAACTTGCAAGAATTCGATGAACTTGGCCTTGGGGATACGGGCACCTTGCTGTGCTATAATCGAATGCTTTATACTCTTCCTACTTTCGTTTCACGCTTTACAAATGAACGTATACCTTCTCTACATTGCAACACTTAATATTTCTTGTTTGGGAGAAAGTTGGAGCTTAGAAGAAATATGAATCTGAAGTCTGTGAGATGAAGTGTCTGTATTTAAGGCCAGAGTTTCAATGTAATGGTATTCAGAATAAATAATTTCTTACACATTCACTCTATGTCTCATCCCCTACCAACTAAATAGTAGTTCTAGGGATCCTACCACAGTCCCACATCATATTTCATGTTTTGCTTCAGTATTGATCCCACACACAGTCAAGGAGCAAAGCGGCAATTCATGGTGGTCCAACAGAGGTCTTTTGATCACAGCCCGCTCCATAGAGTCCATTGTGACGGGGCATATCTTTCCACAGGGAGATGTTTGACGGCATTTGCCTGCGGTATGGTATATGTTGAAGAGAGAGCTTCAGCCACCGCCCAGTCAAAGGCGGCGCGAAGGGAGTACCCCCTCGTCACTGTGCCGTCCCAAGTGATGCCTCCCCAGCTGCGTATGGAACTTGCTCCATCCACTTAACATTTATGTCACTTGTGCATAAGTATCTGAATGTGATAGCATATTCGTTGTTATTATGTATGTAGGTGCAATGGTAGCTTATGATGTGATGCAGTTGCTTATGATGTGGTACAGTGGCTTATGATGTGATACAGTGGTTTATGGATGTGATATAGTGGTTTATGATGTGATGCAGTGGTTTATAGTGTGATGCAGTGGCTTATGAAGTCATACAGTAGCTTATGGATGTGATATAGTGGTTTATGATGTGATACAGTGGCTTATGATGTGATGCAGTGCCTTATGATGTGATAAGGTGACTTATGATGTGCTGCAGTGGCCTATGATGTGATACAGTAGCTTCTGATGTGATGTAGTGGCTTATGATGTGATACAGTGACTTATGATGTGCTGCAGTGGATTATGATGTGATACAGTAGCTTCTGATGTGACACAGTAGTTTATGATGTGACACAGTAGCTCATCAGCTTCTCAGCTCACAACACTAGCTTATAATGTGCTACAGTAGCTCATAAGCTTCTTATCTCACAACACTATCTTATAATGTGCTACAGTAGCTCATAAGCTTCTCATCTCACAACACTAGCTTCTGATGTGACACAGTAGCTCATCAGCTTCTCATCTCATCACAGTAGAGTCTCAGCTCACAACAGCAGCTTATAATCTAATACAATAGCTCATCAGCTTCTCATCTCACAACAGTAGCTCCTCAGCTCATAACAGAACCCCCAGACATATTTGTCCCTATACATGTTTAACCACAAAATATATGTCAAGTTAGCATTGCACATGCCATCAGACTCCCCCAGTCACTCAGATTATTGGCTACATAGAGAATTTCGAATCAACCCTACAGGCGGGCCTCGGTAGGCTGGCAAATCGACACCCTGGCATGCGTAAACACGGGGTTCGAACCCCCGAGAGGAGGAGAACCTTATAATGAATCGCGCATGGCAGATTGCGCGACGGTGTTCCTTTTCGAGCTACCCCTCTTTGCATTGATAGGGTAGGCAGGGTACGGGAGCATGCGTGAGGGTCGAACATGTGTTCGACTGATATTTGTACGAATGCCACGAGAGTACGAAATATAATTAGGAATATTTCCTAAGTCAGTGGTCATCAAAGTGCAACCTGTGTACAAAGTTTGGTCATCAAATTTTATTTGACCCCTGACTTTTATGTATAAATGTTAGAAATATCATTTGTGACGATTCTATTGTTTTGTTATGAAGTGTGGGACTTGTGGACTTGCAGTGAAAAGAGTTTCACTGTACAGTAATATCTTCCACACTGTTCCTGTTGCCTCTATGCTTATTTATTTACATGGTAGTGTTAGTATAAATTCCAAGATGGATCACATTTGTTTATGCTTATAATGTACATTAATGTTCTACTAAATAAAGATATTTCTCGTCTAGTTTTCATGTTTCAAAAATTTCTATCCAGCCCATTTCTTATCTCAAAAAGTCCCAGTTCTAAATGCTGCAGCTGTAGTAAAGGACTTAACCCAACTACGCTATTCAGTGACATTTCACCAGTGTTTGGTATATCAATTACTTTCGTCCGCACAGAAAGTATCAGTTTACCGCGACAGCGCACGTGTTACTCATCCGAAGCGGCTAAAATAGTTGCAGCGTGTCGGCATTGACCCAATTGAGCGGCAGACAGGCAAGCCGCCAGCCACGTGATCGTGCGATGCGCATGCGCGCGACCCTATCCAGGAACAGATCGTTCCTGAAGGATCCCAGCGAAGAAAGGTGGAGAGGTCGGAGGACAACGGTCGAAGAGGAGCAACGGTACAGCTGGTAGGGGGCAGATAGTCGCACGAGGTTGGACGAAAGGGCCAGGCACACGCCAGTCGAAAAAGGGTGCGACCTTCGTTGGCCGAGGCCAGCCCTCGGGGAGACCGCGCCCACGCATTTTCAGCAGGATCGCAGCAGACGGATGGAGCTCGATGGCCTTGAAACTTCTCTTCCCCGCCGACATTCCACCGCGAGAGTTGTCTGATCCCTCGAAAGGGCCATCAAGGGTCGAGGGAGTCCCCACCATGCGAACCGAGTAGTCTCGCGGGAGTGGGCGAAACGAGTTTTTAGCCGAGTGCCGGGGGCTATGACCAATCCAGATTACTTGGCCCTTTGATTATGGTGCTGTAAAACGGAGATTGGTTAGGTACCCGAATGGGTCTTCAGACGGTCTACGATTCAGATCGTACGATTTATACACACGATTTATGTTTTAACATTGTTAGGACAAATGGTCTAACTGGAATTACTACATACTTCAAAAAATCTGTACTGCTATCTCCTCTAGCTAATCAAGGCTAGTCTAACCTAACCTAATCCTAGTACAGACTATTCTAATTTTAGGCTAATCTAAATTAATCTTAGACAAGTTAGGGTTAGACAACCTTAATCCAACTGTAAGCTAATCTAACCTAACCTAGTTCACTAGCTAGTTCACTAGCTAATCAAGGCTAGTCTAATCTAACTTAATCCTAACACAAACTATTCTAACTTTAGGCTAATCTAAATTAATCTTAGACAAGTTAGACCTTAATCCAACAATAAGCTAATCTAACCTAACCTAATTCACTAGCTAGTTCACTAGCTAATCAAGGCTAGTCTAATCTAACTTAATCCTAGTACAAACTATCCTAACTTTAGGCTAATCTAAATTAATCTTAGACGAGTTAGGGTTAGACCTTAATCCAACAATAAGCTAATCTAACTTAACCTAGTTCCTCTGTTGGACCACAAACTGCCTCCTATATTTAGTTAAGTTTTTATTCTCTGTTTTTTAGTTAATATTTTATAATTTTTTTTTTTAACGTAAGATAGTGAAGTACCTCTTCCCAACTTCAAGCAATGGTGTATTAAAACTTCAGTTCTTTATGAAATTTTTATGTAACGAGTATGTCACAAGGAAATATGTGTTTGTCTTCATGGTTTTTCTTCAACGAGATACACCTACGCATTTTGAATAGGATTTCAGCAACTGTTGCAAGGTGAATATGTATATGATCCTCTGGCGCATTTTCTGAGGGTTTTCGCATAATACAGAATTGGTACTATTCTGATATAATTATAAATAATGTTTAAGAGATTGTATTTGCTTAATAAATTTTTAATCTTACTGAAATGTTAAGTTGGAATAACTTAAAAAGGCAAATCATTTCATAAGTGCATATGAATATTTTATGTTCAATATTCATAAACTAACCTTAAATATATTTAAGCTAACTAACCTTAAGTATGATAGCGAAGAATACTGTATCATATTTTACTGACATTAATTTTGATCAATGTCAATTTTTACAATAAATCTTGATTGTTAAATAAAAAGTGTATACATCAAAGTGTCTAACTTTTATCATATGATGTTTTGATCATAAGGCTCTGAAATGGCTGCTAGGGTGTTGCCATGGTGAGACCGCTCCATGAAAATATGAAGCACCATAACCTGAAACTCCTGGACATCCTACTTCCCTATTTTATAATATACGAGAGATATGAATCTATCCATCTGCTGAAATACCGTCATATATTATTCCATATTTAAGATTCCTCAGATTCATATCAAATACTTCTGTAATTACTTTACAAATCATTTATGTCAACAACTTCTGCCACAAAACTTTTTTTGAGAGTAATATTAAATTAACTTAATGTTTTAACAATGAACTAAATCCTATAGATACAGTGATAATTCTTAGACACAGTATTAAGAACAATTACATACATATATCACAAGACATAAGAATGCAATATTTGATATGCAACTGTGTAATTTTATAAGCATCTACATACATGCTTTTTCTTAACATAAGCATCAGTAGTTAACCTTCAATAACTAATAAGAAAAAAATAAATATGGATTGTACATTATTGCAAAAAATAAAAGTAAGATTTGCAAACTTAAATATTAAAAGTGGTAGTCACTCTGCATAGTACCAGAAATTCTTTTATTACCTTACCATTCTTTCCTTATTATCAAATTCTTACAAATGATAAATTGATTCCACCTAAAACACAAATACATCAGATAATATTTCTAAGAAAAAATAAGTATGTATTGCACAATATTATTGCAAAAAATAAAAGTAAGATTTGCAAACTTAAATATTAAAAGTGGTAGTCACTCTGCATAGTACCAGAAATTCTTTTATTACCTTATCATTCTTTCCTTTTTATCAAACTCTTACAAATGATAAATTGATTCCACCTAAAACATAAATACATCAGATAATATTTCTAAGAAAAAAATAAATATGTATTGCACAATATTATTGCAAAAAATAAAAGTAAGATTTGCAAACTTAAATATTGAAAGTGGTAATCACTCTGCATAGTACCAGAAATTCTTTTATTACCTTATCATTCTATCCTTATTATCAAACTCATAGAAATGATAAACTGACCTAACATAACCTCACCTGAAACAAAAATACATCAGACAGTATTTATAAGAAAGATATAACAGTTATAAAATTTATATCGACGTTCTCTCAAAGAGTCCGTACTTGCTCCGCACCGTTTCCCGCCCTGCGACCTCTTCGCCTGCCTTATTCCCCTGCTACACCGATGTAACGGAGTTGTTTACACTGCGCATGTAATATGGCACCAAATGCGCTTCTGTTCATGTCACGCTCCTCCTGGCTTTCCCCCGTGTCTCTGCCTATCCCGTCTCTCCCAATCGAAACATTAAACGACCTGCTAGTTATAACAGCTGGTTACGTCCGCAATCGCTAATGTAACTTACAAATCTGTATCCCGTTTATAAATTCGTCGTCCGATGGTACACGCGTCGAATTACCATCGTACACAAGGATCATTGAATATTTGTCAAGAACCTTTTTTCGTACGTCGCGCCATAAAAAAAGACATTCAAGCACGACGTTGTTACATCTTGTCGAGACCACGGGTTAGAGATATCAGAATTGAGGAGAAAGTCGAATCGTTCTCGATACATCCCCGACCAGGAGCTCATGCATGCGAGTTATTATGCGGGCAGGATGTTTTCAGCCCGGTGTCGTCATAGTTGTTTATGGCTTCAACAAAAGAAAGGGAGAAAAGGCGACATCAAGAGCAAATCACGATACGGTTGGTAGCAGGGGCGCAGCATTCCGCGAAGGATGCATACACGAAATACATAAATACCTCGATTATGCTTACCTTAACCCTAAATTCTTTTTCTTTTTTTAAGTGGAGTTTGTTAAATATTCTTTAAACGTCATTTGTTATTATAGGCAGAGTGGATGACTTTTTGAGGTGACATCAGCACGTGTGGTTTATGTCTGAAGACACGTGGTTCTTTCAATGTTCTTCTCAAGGAAAGTCATTGACTGACCCTACACAACCGAAAAGTCCACGACGAGATATGAAAAAAATGAAAAGTGATATCCCTGTTAACAGGAGACCATGGCAGGCCTGGAGCAGGCGGTCCGGAAACAGGTTCGCATTTGACTTCCCTCAAAATGTCACCTCTTCCAGTTTAAACATATATTTTCTTTTGGTTTACAAATATGTGCTCTACTCATCTGTGATCAACTGAAATATCTTGTATAGCCTGTTGCACAATATGTCATTCAAAGAGTATTTTTGATGAAACACCAGTGCATTACCTGCAAAAGTTTGCTTGATTTGAAGGAGACATTAAGATGATCAGAGTTAAGGACATGAACAATGTATTTATAATTTATGTGTCTATTTTGTTGTATTGGTTTGGATCTTTATGGAGGTTAATTTCTGTTGAAAGATGAGAATATGTATGATAATGAAGATGTGGAAGTTTCAAGGTCCTGAGTATAGAAGTTTATAAATGAAATGTATGAAAAACCCAAAGACCATGAGTGTAAAATTATAAATTGCAAAAGTCATGAAGTCCTAGAGTACAAGGTCCCATAGTCCTAGGTGCTACAGTCCCAGGTCCTGAGTATGGAAGTTTAAAAATGAAGTGTATGAAAAACCCAAAGACCATGAGTGTAAAATTATAAATTGCAAAAAACCTGAAGTCCTAGAGTACAAGGTCCTATAGTCCTAGGTGTTGTAGTTGTAGATGCTGCAGTTCCAGGTTCCGAGTATAGAAGTTTAAAAATGAAGTGTATGAAAGACCCAAAGTGTATGAATGTAAAATGCTAAATTGCAAAAAGCTTGAAGTCCTAGAGTACAAGGTCCTATAATCCTAGATGCTACAGCCTTAGGACCTACAGTCTCAGGTCCTATAGTCTCAGGCTCTACAGTCTTGGGTCCTACAGTCTCAGGTCTTACAGTCTTAGGTCCTACAGTCTTAGGCCCTACAGTGCAGATCCTATAATCCTAGTGTCCTAAGGTCCTAGTGTCCTAAGGTCCTAATGTCCTAAGGTCCTAATGTCCTAAGGTCCTAGTGTCCTAAGGTCCTAGTCTCCTAAGGTTCTAGTGTCCTAAGGTCCTAGTGTCCTAAGGTCTTAGTGTCCTACAGTTCTAGTGTCCTACAGTCCTAGTGTTCTACAGTTCTGAGGTCCTAGGGTCCTAGTGTCCCAAGGTCCTAGTGGCCTACAGTCCTAGTGTCCTACACTTCTAGTGTCCTATGGTCCTAGTGTCCTATGGTTCTGGTGTCCTATGGTTCTAGTGTCCTACAGTCCTAGTGTCCTACACTTCTAATGTCCTATGATCCTAGTGACCCACGGTCCTAGTGTCCTACAGTCCTAGGTCCCACAGCCCTAGTGTCCTACAGTCCCAAAGTCAATTCCAAAGTGAAGTCCTACTCCTCAAATACAATTCCCAAAATTAAAAACTGGTAAGGTAAAACCCCAACTTAATCCAATCTCCCCACATCTAATTTCATCCAATCACAAAGAATGAAAAGAACACAATCGTATGCAAGTACGAAAAAACAGTAACAGCCTCGACATACAATGTGACAGGCTCACGCATCGTGTCATCATCGTAATAACAGCAATTAGATTCGCTCCATTGAGTTCTAAATGCGGAGACTCGACCACTAGGAACGCAGATGTGTCGAAGAGCCACGAAGGATCCTTGGAAGGAGGAGATCTTCCTGCGATTTCATCCTGCTATCCTGACCGCTGTCGCCGTCTTTCTTATTAATATGCTAATTTTACATGAACACAGCATGAAATTATGAAGAAGCAATCGTTCCACTGCATTTCCCCGAAACTGTTTGTCCAAGGGTTTTCAACGTTGTCCAGGGTGTTTCAGGCTTACAGGCACGTGTAATACGAAACACCTTCGACCAGGGTATCATGGGCGTGCACGGAGTCATCCCTTGTAAATCTTATTTTCTTCCAGTTCTCATTTGCCATTCACTTTTTTCAGCTTTGCATTTTACTTGTTGGGTTTAAGGATGTGAATGATTCTATACTGCATAGTACACGTGTTATGGAATATTTCATTACTTTCTTTACATTTGAATTTTAAATATTTATTGAATATTGTTAGAATGCAACTTACACTGTACATATGTGTCATTGGGTTCCTGGAATAACCCATGTCCTTACAAAGTCCTGTGGTATTTAGAAGTTAAATTTTGTTTACAAAGTCATAATGGATATAGTGTGTGCACCTGTAAAAATTATGTGGATGTTCATTCTTTTGTTCAGCACTTTTCTTGTTGGGTTTAAAGATGTGAATGATTTTATACTGCATAGTACACCTGTTATGGAATATTTCATTACTTCCTTTAGATTTGTTTTTAAATATTTATTGAATATTGTTAGAATGCACCTTACATTGTATATATATGTCATTGGGTTCCTGGCATAACCTATGTCCTTACAAAGTCCTGTGGTATTTAGAGGTTAAGTTTTGTTTACAAAGTCATAATGGACATAGTGTATGTACCTGTAAAAATGATGTGAATGTTAAATAAAATAAATGATCTACAAAAGCACCTTTTACTTTAATTTCTTAGTATAAACTTAATATACCTAATACTCTCTCTTTACCTATACGGAGTTCCATACTCTCTGAGTGATATAAACGTCAACAGTCATTAATCATACCAGTGCAAGTTATATCAATGTACCTGTGCTTGTATGCTTAGTACATGTTACATTTCCATAAACCAATAACTGCAATGATTGACACAAACCCACCATAAAAACCTGAAAAAGATTCCACAGATCAAAATTCCATAAATCAAAATTCCACAGAAATAGGTTAACATCGACACCGTAACTCAGCCATCATCACAAAGAAAGGAAAAATCGAGTTTGTTGCCGAGGATGATTCCAGGAGGATCAGGGCTCCATCAGCAGGTGGACGTGTCGATGGCCCTTCAATTCCCTGAGGAATGAAAGATTTTCTGCTTCAGTGACTTCGAAAGAAACAGAAACGACTGATCGATTAGGAGTGCACGAAAAGATGGAGCAAGACGTTGCTTAAAAATATCTTCATGGTCTCCATGATCATGCACGGGTAAATAGGTTTGTAACGACTCTTCGCTGTCGGCTCGTGACGGGCCCTATCATTGGCAGCCATTTGATACCAAACTGAGACTACTGGACACCAGGAGATCATGCGCTGAGACCCTTTGTAACGTGACACTCTGTGCACGTGCTTCGGTTATGCTAAAAATATTTTTATGTTGGTTATTTATCTTGTGTTTATCTTAGAAAATATTTCTGATTGTGTGAGTGCTAACTTACTTGGTGAATAAACTTGTTCAGTGTGAATTCATACAAGACCTGTCAGTGTAAACAAAATGTTCTAGAATGTTCCAGAATGTTCCATCTTTCTGAGCATTCGCCACTCTGTCAATAATGAATTAAGAACACTATAGTTCAAATAAGAAACTCATTAAAACTGATAAAGCAACAGTGAATAGTAAAGTGGTCCTCGAGGTACACCGAGAAATTAGATATAATATTAGAAACAAAATGCATGGCTCAATTATGAACTCCTAGTAGAACCAAAAGGTACATAAATATAGACAACAGTATACAGCGGCATAGAAACCGGATGTTTCATGAAAGGGCGTCTAAATAACCACGAACTTGGAAACATTCGGCCTCACATGAGCAGGCAAACATGAGAAGAGGAGTGCACGTGATACGATTTTATGATACGAGGAACAGGAAATAAGTATGCGTTATGTTAATCACCTTGGTGTTAAATGTTTGAATAACGATGGGGAGACTTGGTCGAGGAAAAACCTTGATCGTCGTACACCGAGGACAGAAAATGGATAAACAACCTTATGGGGATGGTAGGACACGGTAGAAGGTTGACGCGTCTAGCTAGGTTTTCTGTGGCGTATCGATTGTCTACCCTCCTAGTAAACGCGTCTAGTTTATAAACTATATTATGTAAGAAGTGAGGATATGGGGGAAATGTTTGTTGGTGATGTATTGTTAGAATGGTTGTGATTATATTTATGAATAGAGAATGATTTGTTATGAGCAGAAAATGTTGATATGTACTTTTGAATTTATTACTGGTGATTTGTTACATGTAGTTTAATACCGTGCAAATTTAAATTAAATTAAATTAGTGCAAAATTGTGTTTATAGTGGGATTACCCTTTAAATTATTGAGCGAGCGAGCCGAAGGCGAGCGAAGCTCTTATACTTGATTTTGCAACTTTTTTGTCTGCGTTTTTCTTTTGCACCACTCAACCAATTCTCGTTAAATTTTGCATGCATATGCGTATGTACATCTAGATGGATATAGAAAAAAAAAATTTTAATCGGACTTGCCACGAACGAATAATCACCGAAAAAACTGATCCTAAAAAGTGAGGGTCCGAATACGCATATAAGGAAAATAAAGAAATGAATATTTCGGCACTTTGTCGACGTAGTACGGTTCCTGAGGCATTTAGAAACAAATTTCTATTAGGGTTTGATGCGTTTTGATGCCTAATAAAGCCAGAAAATGAATTTTTGTCGAATTCGGTCGAAAACGGTACAGGTGGCGTCATCTAGCGGCGAGCGGCGGAACTACGAAAAAATAAAATCTCGATTTTCTCGAAAACTAGGGACTTTTCCGAAATTCTGAGATATACAAATTGTTCCTTGTCGCCTACTGAATCGAACGAATGTAATTATACCCTGCTAGGACAATTATTAAGGAAAATAGAAATATAGCCCATTTCATGGACTAAAAAATTGGCGTCCATCTAGCGGTGAAAGTTGGAACTACAAAATTATAAAAATGCGATTTTCTCGAAAATTAGCGAATTTTAAGTACTTCTGAGGGTCAGAAAGTGTTATGTTATCGCATTAGAAGCAAAATAAAGCAATAAAAGCTTCCTAGTGGCTTTAATAAAGAAAATTAAAAAAATGTCATTTTATGGAGAAAATTTGTGGCGCCATCTAGCTGCGAAACTGCGAACTAAACCGAAAAACCGTATGTCCGAACACGCGTTAAGGAAAAATATAAAAAGTAATATTTCGCAACTTTGAAATTGATTTTCTGGGCTTAATAGGCAAAAAAATGGATAACTTATTCAATACAAATTGCTTTAAAATGTCTAAAGAAGCATACTACGTCATCAAAGTTGCGAAATATTACTTTTTATATTTTTCCTTAACGCGTGTATGGACATACGGTTTTTCAGTTTAGTTCGCAGTTTCGCCGCTAGATGGCCGCCAATTTTGCGAAATATTACTTTTTATATTTTTCCTTAGTGCGTGTTCGGACATACGTTTTCTCAGTTTAGTTCGGAGTTTCGCCGCTAGATGGCGCCACAAATTTTCTCCATAAAATGACATTTTTTAAATTTTCTTTATTAAAGCCTCTAGGAAGCTTTTATTGCTTTATTTTGCTTCTAATGCGATCACATAACACTTTCTGACCCTCAGACGTACTCAAAGTTCGCTAATTTTCGAGAAAATCGCATTTTTATATTTTTGTAGTTCCAACTTTGACCGCTAGATGGACGCCAATTTTTAGGTCCATGTTTTGGCCTATTTTTTTACTTAATAATTGCCTTAGGGGGCTATAATTAAACTCGTTCGATTCCGTAGGCGACAAGGAACAATTTGTATATCTCAGAATTTCGGAAAAGTCCCTAGTTTTCGAGAAAATCGAGATTTTATTTTTTCCTAGTTCCGCCGCTCGCCGCTAGATGGACGCCAATTTTTTAGTCCATGAAATGGCCTATTTTTCTATTTTCCTTAATAATTATCCTAGCAGACTATAATTACATTCGTTCGATTCCGTATGCGACAAGGAACAATTTGTATATCTTAGAATTTCGGAAAAGTCCCTAGTTTTCGAGAAAATCGAGATTTT